GCCAGCAATAATTTTAAAAAGTTTCCATTAAAAACTTGGAACTATTTTTGTAGCTTTTGTAAGGAAAGTTTTGTTTTAGTTTCAGATGTGCTATTTCGAAATTTTTACAGCTGGTCTTTCGTATATTACAAATTTGCAACTTTTAGTTCTTACAAAATCATATAACATTTGGGTTCTTATTTTATTCTGGAAAAATTTCATTTATCGGGGTTTAAGCAAAACTTCGAAGAAACAAAATATTCTATCCGGTAGAAAAGATGAAAAGAAACCGAAAAGGTCTCTTGGCAATTTTGCGTCCAAAGTCTCTTTGAGAATTTACAGAAGAAAATCCCCTCTTTTTCACTTTTCCTGGGGCTGGAACTCTGTAACTAATAGAGATCGTTATCCATATCGCTATGGTACTCGCTGTCTTTTTCTCTTTTCTCGAAATGGATAGAGAGGAAATGTCAATAGAGATAGAGAAAAGAGAAACTCTATTTGTTACAGAGTCCCAGCCCTGGGGGCCTATTCTAGGGCTAGGGAGTAGAGCTCCCTGAGACAACAAATTTTTCGTCTTTATCATTCTGGTTTACTTTTCGAATACGTTGACAAAACATTATACGAGAATCGGACCACTGGCGATTGAATTTCGAAAAAAGGAAGCAGCGTTCGCATAAGAACAAATTTTATGTCTTTGTCACTCATATGAGATTTTGCATTCAACTGGGAAGGATACTTGTTGTCATATGAATCCTCTTTCCCTCGTTTCGAGAATCAGGCCCCTCGTGGTTTTTGGGAATGCCCGATTCAATATTAGTATTTGTAATGTTGCCAAGTTTAGGTACTTTTTCCAAGATGCCGTTGTATCCAACTTCATTTTTTTTAAATGAAAATCTCTCTTTATTTTATTGTAATTAATGCAGCGTTCTAATATTATGTAAGCCCCTAAAGGTCGGTTTCTCAATAGACCAGACCGATCTCCTATTACCTGGACTGCGCACGCAACTCGTAGGCTGCAGGTGAGCGTCCAATGAGAAGCGAGTTTGTTAAAGGCTTGCGTCATATTCTTATTCAGGGGCCAGTTCAACAAGAGTGCGTTCGAAATCACCCTGGGCGTCACACCAGCCATGAATGATTCATAGCTGGTGTGCACTCGGTGTGACGTCCAGGGTGATTTCGAACGTACCCCAGAACTAAACGTTCTTTCTTTCTTTATAACGTGTAATTGGACAAAGAGAAAACTAATTCTTTACGTATTACTCGAACTCATCGCAATGTCGTTTAAGGTTATGTTAGATTATACTTGACATATTCCTTTGCAATGGCATGTAATATTGACAGTTGAGTTGAAGAGGGCGCTTCTGTACTTGGAGCTATTTAAATTTTGGCGCGTAAATAATTGATTGTAATTTTAACCCCAAAAGTTAAGTCTGATGTGTGTGGTTTCAAGACAAGCTGACGCTGACAGTTTTAAAATTATTCTGTAGGGCCACTGAATGCTATGGAAGATATTTTAACTTATTCATTGTTCATATTGTGGTCATCTTTTTTCTACTCAATTTAAACGGATTAAAACTATTGACATTTACCGCCAAAATTTGAACCACTCCAAGTTCACTCGGGCCCTCTACAAAATTTTGGAGAACTTAACTGGATATTTGCGGCCAATCTGGCTACACGGCAACCACGAGTTGTCATTTCATCTTTTATTACTTTGTAACTTGTATTTATTACAATTAAGCTCTCTTTTTCTATTTATACGAGATAGATCTATAGCAGGTCACCTCCAGGTTAAGCTAATTCCAGGGTGAATATTGTAACTTTACACGTTAACCCTGAAGTTAAAACCAACCCGGGGGTGACTCGTCATTGAGAAACCGGCCCTCGGCCCTAAATGCCAAACCTTCCTTTAACTTGGTTTTTGAAATAGGTATGTAAACCTCCATTCAACTTGGTTTTTGAAATAGGTATGGCAACACAGCTTTTTTTGAGATGTACAATGTGCCCAAGGATGATACACACTACTACTACAAGATAGCCTATCTTCATAAGGCCTGTGTAGAACAAATCTGAAGTCCCCCACCACGCCAAATCACCAATTGTGACGTAGACATGTCCCTCTTGCCTTGGCATAGGCTGTTTGCACCTAAGGATGATACACACCTACAGGATTGCTTATCGGTTTTATTTTTGGTAATCGCCGCCATATTGGTGTGGTTCGATTTCCGACGTCATAACTAAGTCGTCAGCTGTTTAAACAGCCTACGTCAAGGCGAGAAATAACATGCTGCATACGTCATAACTGGTAATTTGGCTTGGGGAGGAGAGGAGTGATTTGTTACACACAGGCCTTATGAGGATAGGCCATCCTGTAGTACATAGTAGTGTGTATCATCCTTGGTTTGAACTATAGGTTATGATTCCGCGACTTTTTGCTTTATGCATTCTTGGTTTTACTACATTAATTAACATTCTAAAACAATTCTTTTTTTGGATCTCGTTTTCATCTTCCTCTTTGCCTATTATGTTAATCAAAATTAAGTAATATTTCTTATCATAAATTTGAATTCTGAACTACGACTGCCAATGCAAACAGCTGACGACTTAGTTATGACGTCGGAAATGGTGATACACCAATATGGCAGCGATTACCAAAAACGAGGCCGATAAGCAACAAGGAGAATACACATTCTAAGGAGTGCTTATCAGCCTCGTGTTTGGTAATCGCTGCCATATTAGTTTTCACCCATTGCCGACGTCATAACTAAGTCATCAGCTGTTTAAACAGCCTACGTCAAGGTAAGAAAGGCCATGCTGCTTACGTCACAACTGGTTGTTTGGCGTGGGGGGGAGGGGGATTTGTTACACATAGGCCTTTATGAGGATAGGCCCCCTTAGGGCCGGTTTCTCAATACCGATTCACCTCCGAATTAGTTTTACCTCCAGGGTACACGTGTTCAGTTGCTATGTTTACCCTAGAGTTATGCTTAACCCGGGGGTGACTCGCTATTGAGAAGCGGGCCCTTAGTAGTGTGTATTTAAAACTCCTAAATACCAATAAATCTCCATTTGACTTGATTTTTTAAGTATGGCATCACAGCTTTTTTCTTAAAATGCATGGAATCAGTTTCGTATTCCAGAACAGGCTTTAGAAAAATGTGATATTGCGTAGATATTCGAAGTAGTTTTCTCGCATTCACTTTTTTGAAACTGGTTCAAAACAGGTTTGAAACAGTATATTCTCGGGACTAACCCATGACGTCACATCAAAATTGGTTCAAACCAATCAAACCGTGTCGAAATACAATCCAATCCACGTTTTAAAATCATTTTCTCGCGCCGAGAAGTTATCACGTCATGTGACACTTTTTTAAATCAGATTTGAAAAACTTTTTAAAACATTTGAGACGCGAGGAAGTACCTCTAGATTTGTAGTGGTAGAGGGGGACTTTCATTAAAAAAATTAAGTTACATATAGTCTGCAAGTGGTAACTTGATAGAGACAAAACGGACAAGAAAAGTGGGACCTGGTGACAACCATGTCTTTGGGTTCAGTGGCACCGAAAACACCAAGGAAATAAACGAATAAATTTATTAGAAAAAAAAATCTTGAGTTTCGCCAATATAACCACGCCACTGTGCTGTCGTTCAGGCTCTAACCAATAGAATCTTGCCTCTGAATAATCACGCCTCTCCACATCTATCATTTTGAAATGTTGCCGGATTTTTTTCTATTTCAAAATACATGCCCATATTGCATTCGCCGTTTGGCTAGCCAGACTATACACGGTAAACTTGGCAACATTGCAAATACCACCATTAAAGACCTTTTGTTTGGACGCCATATTGCGGTACGCGAACATAGTTGCCAAAAGTAGAAAAAAAAAAAATTACTTACGTACTGTCAACATTAAAAACAATAGTTATTGAATAAATTACATTTAAAATAAAAATTTGCCGCCTATTACGAATGTTTTTGAAAAGAAAAGCCATCAATTTTAGCATGTATTGAGCAGAATGGAAATAATAAAATAATCATTTAGTTACTTTTGTTTTTAATGTTGACAGCCCGCTAGTGATTTTTGTTTTCTTCTTTTGGCAACTATGTTCGCGCACCGCAATATGGCGTCTAAACAAAAGGTCAATTCCCAAAAACCCCTGTACATTCTTTTTAAGCGCGTGTTGAAATATAGGGCCGTTTCCATAAATAACGGCAACCCTGTATATGTTGATCAATAGGGCAATCAAATCCATATGGTGGCCATTATTAAATAATGAAATTGACACCCAGGATTTCATTTACCTCCAGATATAACCGTGACGTTTTCTTATCATAAAACTGTCCTCTGTGTAATTTGTGGAGTCTCAAGGGGGTTTTTGTATTGCTTAGGAAAGATAATTTTCTTAGTGTGACTATAAACAGACAGATGGATAATCGTTGGCGCCATATTGAATTTGAAACTAACAAAAAGTATTGGCAACATTGGTCTTATATTGCCATCTTATGTTATCAGTTGTCAGCTGTCAGTCAAACAACTTTTTACTGAGACAGCGTGAAAGTTAAAATTCGTGATTTTAGCCCAATGATGATACACACTACTACTACAGGATTGCCTATCCTCATAAGGCCTGTGTATAACAAATCCCCCCTACCTCCTACGCCAAACAACCAACGAACCAACCACTTGTGACGTAAGCAGCATGGCATTTCTCACTTTGACGTAGGCTGTTTACACAGCTGACGACTTAGTTATGACGTCGGAAATGGTTGAAAACAGTTGAAACCCAATATGGCGGCGATTACCAAAAACGAGGCCGATAAGCACTCCTTAGAGTGTGTATTCTCCTTGATTTTAGCCGATTTCTACTATATAAATATTAAAAGTGTTTTGGTACTGCTGCCTGAAAAAATTCTCCTTTGGATGTGTTGTCCATCAATCGACTCTGATATATGTGAAAAAACAAAAACACCAGAAACATTCATTTGAATCATTTTATTATTTGTCCTTCACAAACTATAACTACAATTCATTTCTATCACCTCCAGGTGTATATTTGCTTTTCTTCTTATCTTTCCAGCCTGGCTCTGGAGGACAATAGCAAGCCTGTTTTTGGGAATCCATGTAAGATTTACAACCCAAAGTTAGTGTTCCTGTAAACAGCATTTTAGCTGCACCTTTGCAAGCTGAAAAAAATTCAAAAATTAAAGTAAAAGTTGTAACTACAGCGTGTTTGTTGTATATGTAACTTGAACATGTCCTTTATTTTCAAAAATAATAAGAAAGTTACTATGAGTGTTCCAGTTATAAGCACCCAATACCAAGAAAACTTTTGGTACCTTTTGTAACAGTTTGTCCTCCAACTGAATTGGAGTACCCGTCGCAGTTCTTGTAAAGGCACCTTTTGAAATCGATGTCGCAAACTTCCTTGTCCTTGTTACACGTGTCGTAGCAAATGTCGTGCGCATTGCAGCACTCTTCCATGGCACCAAATGGTAAGTATTCAGAGTTGATTTTCAAACCTAAAGAACCACATCCGTTTGCGCTGGGCGAGTGGTTCCTATTCGGTTTTGGAGTTGCACCTAAGAAAAAGAACTTATTATTATTGTTACAAGACTTAGGAGCAACAACAATTTTCATATAGGCAAAAAATTATTCATTGCAGATACAGTTTAAGAAGAAAATGCAGGACAAAATCATGCCGCATCATGTTTATTTGGATTTTTATTTCATTCTGGACTGTTCTAGAATAGTTCAGACAATCTGCAAACTGCCCATCAGTGAAGGGAACCCTGAAGAACCGACTTTTTCCGATTCAAATAAAACCCCACCATTTTGAAATTGACTTTTTTCAAACAAAATATCCAATCAGGTAAAGACAAAGTAAAGCAATCGAAAAGGTATTTTGGCAATTTTACGTCAAACGTCTCCTTAAGAAGTTACAGAAGAAAATCTACTTCCTTTTACTAAGATTTCCCAAAAATGTGGAGTTTTATTCGCATTTTCAATTTTTTTTCCTAAAAGTTAACACTCCTAGTTCCGGATATTTTTTTTTCTTTATTCGGCAAGCTTATAGCTCTAACATACTAGAATTTCATAGAGAAAGAGTTAAGGATCACGAAATTGTGATTTTTAAAACGTATGAGGATAGTAACTGATAGATATTTAGGTACAGTGGAAATCATTGCAATTGGCACACACTATGTAAATATCCCTCGTAATGTGTGTCAAATCTGACACACAGTAATAGCAAAATGCTGCACTAAATAGAATTTTGACTTAATACGGGGGATTTTAAAGATTGTGTGCCAATTGCAATGATTCCGACTGTACCTATTTCTACTATGTGACCTTTATTCGCATTCTCGATTTTTTCAATAATTGAAACTATCTAGCATAGTCTTATATGATACCATATATGGATACTTAAGCATTATTTTTTCGGACATATTATACATTTATATGGACCTTGGCTGGAGGTGACCAAATTATTGCACCATATAGATATAGGTATTCAAAATACGGTTTGCATTCCTAGGTGTGTTCGTCCGCACACTGATTTCTTTTCTATCCCTTCTTGATTGAGTCTTTTTACGGATAACTTGTATATGGCGACTGATCCCCGTTGTATGCAAGGAATAAAAAGTCTCACTTACTTCCTTTCCGGGAACTCCGCCCAGAACTAAATACATGACGTATAAATTGGAATCTTTTCTCTGTATGGGTCTTTCCTGACAGTTTCTTCTGTGATGTCCGTTCTTACTTTTCCTTTAGTTTTAAGAAAGAGATTGACGAGTCTCAAAGAACCACCCGACTGATTTATTGATTTTTCAATTTTTCTGAATTCTGAGTGCAATTTTTCATAGAATCCGGTTTCAAATCTCAGAGTTATTTAGTGTATGGAGTTTGCGGAATCCCAAATAACCATTAGGACACAAAATCTCGATAAAAAAAAATTGAAATTTCATCGTTTTAGTACTGAGGTAGCTATGACAAAGCCAAGTTTTTCCACTAAGCTAGGCTCAGGCTATGAACTACGGAGAATATGGCCCTAAAGACGCTTTGAGAAGACGTAAGCGGAATGTCGTTTATGGACATCTTAAGGACGTCTTTTAAAATGCTGTGCCTTCTGGGTAAAGAATCCTATTTGAATCCCACTGGAATCCGACTAGAATCCCAAGGAATCCCACAGAATTTCACGGAATGCCATTAATCTCACATACAGTTATGAGTACAAAAACAAAAAATGGAATGCCCGATTTTTTCTATTGTAAAACGGGCTCACCAGCTAGACGGGGGAATTGTCATATTTGACAAAAAATTTGTTGCGCAGAAAAGACTGATTTACCCAAAATAGCTTTGAATATAAAACTACAGGAAGGAGCATAACTTCGAATCTGCGCGACCAAAATATGTGGAAGTTGCATATGGCCGACTAATATTTCCGGTTTGGCAGTAGCGTATATTTATTTAAATATGATTGTCAATATTATGACTCACTCTTTTCGCACTAATCCCAGTGCTTATTATCACTTAAAACCGCTAAAATCCATTAAACATCGACTTAAATGAGGACACAGCGAACCACCAAAACAAATGATGAGTCCATACTTGGAGGCTCAATATGGCCGTTTCCGTCCCTGCGTTGTCTGTAGTGACGGATAGAAAACGCTCCTTCTTGTAGTTTTATATTCAAAGCAAAATAGCGAAAAATGACAAGACCTGTCAGTCGGGTATCCCACTTTTTATGCTCACGACTGTACTTATAGCGAATTCCATTGGTAAAATCAGAGCAAAAAAAAATGTACTTTTATCTCTTTGTTATACAAGCTGGTAAAAAAAGACACATAGTGCGCACTAACCCTTCCAAAGGAATTCGCTATTATACACTATATTCCAAGATGGTTTATCCCTCGGGGATTCCCCAAGAATCGAAATTTACTTTTTTCGAAGAAACCAAATGACATTCTGGGTAGCAGATAAAGAAGAGCTACTGGACTGGAAGACGTAGAAGATGAAAAAAAAAACAGATATTGTCTATATCGTGTTCACAATCCGATGTCCACAGGTGCAGGTAAATTTATCACCTTTCCCTATCAAATAGCATTGAAAGGTGATTTTACCTGTACCTACCTGTGGACATCGGATTGTGAACAGATAATTATTTTCAATCTGTAGTCCAAAGGTACAGGTAAAATGTATCACCTTTCAATGCTATTTGATAGGGAAAGGTGATAAATTTACCTGTACCTTTGGACTACAGATTATGAATAGGATATAAATAGGTATTTTTATACCGAATAAAAGTAAGTTAAATTTTGAATTCAAACAAATCAATTAGGACTAAAGAAAACGCTATGCTACAGTGGCGACATCTATCCGTGCGTTCGTTATTTTGGTCCGAGTTCTCCGAGCTTGACTTTACCGTTCGTTTATTTAAAAAGTGTACTCGGTGCAGCCTCATTCGCGTTCGTTTATTAAAATTTTTGGCACTTTTATACAGCGTTCAACTGCTCTGTTCGCTCACTGGTCACGTGATTATGGCTCCGCTCGGCACGCTCTGCTCTTTGAGCAAAATACCGAACGCAAGGTATATATACATCGATTACAGACTGAGGAGCTCAATAAATTCAAATTTTATCATCTATTTATATTAATAATTCGATAATATTTAAATAATTATAATATGATTTTAACTGAGAAGACTCTACATGTGAGAATTGAGGCAAGGATAATACACATTACAGGATAGCTTATTCTCATGAGGTCTGTGTTGCTTAAATTTCCACCCCCCACCATGACAAAGAATAACTGATGACTTAGGTAGCTGGTCGTTTCTTGACTTGTCGTAGGGTGATTGCACCAAAGGTTATACACTTACTTTTTATACAGGGTGAGTCCGAAATAAGTGCGCATTTTGTTATGAAAGATAGAGTACAGTAGGACATTCACTTTTTGCATAGGTACCTACATATGTCCACAAAGGTCTCGTTAAAAAAATACAGAGTGTTGAAATTTTCAGAAAATTTTGACTTTTCACCTTCAGATTCAAAATGTCTTGAGCGATTTTGTTCAATTTTCCAAAGAGTGTTTGCGATGTTCTCAATTAAGCATCTTTCCAAAAAATCCGTTCGAATCCCACTCTTCCAGAACCGGACCTAGAGCGATTCTTATTTTTTAACAGAGTGGGATTGTATCGAACAACGAGATTTTCCAAATAATAAGTAGGTACCTACATTGATTTTTATTTTTTGTCTCGTGTAGACGTCGCATCGAACAAGATAAATTGGTTATATCGTTTATTTTAAATCGAACAAGGAATCAAAAAATAGTCTTTAACTTATCAGAAAACCCAGGGACGTACCACTTTTTTTCTTTTAAAAATATAGGAGTCGCTCTAGATCCGGTCCTGGAAATTTGGAACTCAAACGGATTTTATAAGAAAGATGCTTAAGAACATCGCAAACACTCTATGAAAAATTGAACAAAATCGCTCAAGGCATTTTGAATCTGAATAAGGTAAAAAGTCAAAATTTTCCGAAAATTTTAATACTCTGAATAAAAAAAGACAGGTTACATCAGCTATCAGCTGGTGATTGGGTTAAACGGATCAGCGTTTCCGTAAAGAATATGTAGTAGTAGTAGTATTTAGTCCACCAAACTTTTGCTAACTGTGACTAGTTGGCCGTTGGATCATGCAGTACCATACCCAAGGTTGTTTCAGAGAGGTAGGTTGCCTGATAATTTTATGACGTCATCTGGGGTGACTCAACAAAATACAAATCTCCATAAGGCATTAAGTTACCTATTACTAGATAATCCATGAATTTTAGGAACCTTGTACCGTTACCTAAATCAGATCTATTTCAAAACCAAATGAAAATATTCGGAATAATTAGTTTGCCCGCTGGCTCCAACGTCAGAACTCCGCGCAGACACGTGCGTGTACCATTCTTAAATTGGTTCCACCATTCTTGGGTTCTACCCTAAAGGCAAGAATGATACCCACTACTACTCTAGGATAGCCTATCCTCATAATGCCTGTGTGGAACAAATCCCCCACTCTGCGCCAAATCAACAGTTGTGACGTAGGCAGCAATCGGCAGCATGTTATTTCTCGCCTTGAGGTAGGCTGTTTAAACAGCTGACGACTTAGTTATGACGTCGGAAATGGTGACACACCAATATGGCAGCGATTACCAAAAACGAGGCCGATAAGCAATCCTGGTATTCTGTAGGTGTGTGTCATCTTTGCCCTAGAGGCAATCTCAAGATGGTTACTTTCACAGTGACTTCTACCTACCCCTCTGGGATTCCCCAAAAATCGAAATTGACTTTTTTTCGAAGAAACCTAATTCTGTGGGTAGCAGATGAAGTAGAAGAACTACTGAAAGACGTAGAAGATGAGAGAAAATAATCAAACAATAGGAAAAGAGTTAAATTTTGAATCTGACCAAAGGACTAAAGAAAACTCCACTGTAGAAAACGCTATACTACAGGAGCGCCATCTATATATAGGTTTGGGAGTGAGGAGCAACAAATTCATTATTCATGATTAATATTCAAATAATAATTATTAAATGATTTTAATTGAGAAGACTTCATTCAATATTGAGGTAATATTTTAAGGTACCTGGACCTGAAGAAACTTTGGTCACCCAGGCAGGCAGGCATCAAAACCCAAAATCAATAGGAGGTAAACCTTCAATTTTTCTCAAAATCTAGAATAAATAAATAAACAATTATTCTTACCAGTGGGGCACTTAAAAATACATTCTTCTTCAACCGCAGCATCGAACACGTCATGCACCGTTCTGAATTTCTGAGCTATTTTCACTACATTTTTCAAAACGTCCCCAAAAACCGATTCTGCGGTAATAATAGCGTCCCGTAAGTTCCCTAACAAGCCCGAACCGTAACCTGAATAAATGTACCCCAAAAATGTTAATAAATAAATAGCCAACTTTCCATAAGGAATATTCATTCTTTTTGCTTCTATTTATACTCAACTCGACTGACTTTTTTGAGGTTAGGTCACCTATTTTTAAAATTACGTGGCTCTAGGTAATTAGTAGAGAAATGCACCATATAAATATTATCTAATTTTAATCATTATACAAAATATTCATATATTCAACGTTTTTGACCTGGTTGCAAAGCGTCTACCTAAAAATATAATACAAAAATTTAAGTGGCTCGTTGCATCAAAATCTAGGCATCCACCAATGTTTTTAGTTCTCCTTTTTCGTAGAGGGTCTTGACATCGGAACCACCTCCCAAGCAGTTGCCTTTAACAAAAACTCTTGGTACCTGAAACATAATTATTAGTTTTTGTATAATGAAAAACGTGCTTTTAAGTTTTACAGTTTTAGCTCCAGTTATTTCGCCTAGGATTCCTTGAATCTCTTCGCCATCGTCTCTCAAGTCTAGTTCAATTGCGGTGTAGTTTTCTTTGAGTTTGTCAAAAATCTACAATCAAACGGTATGAGAAGTGCTGAAAAGCATGCTTTTTAAGCTTACCTCTTTAGCCAGTTTACAATAGGGACAGTAAGTTTTGGAGAAAATGACCACTTTGTCGCTGGAAATGAGGTTTTTCACTTCAACTGCTTTGGGGGACGCCATATCGACTAGTTTGGACCTAAAAGCACCCATCAGGCGTGAGAAAAACCCTATTACATCGACTATGCGCCAATAAACCAAATCTAATACAGCGCTCATCATAAATATCGAAACTCAAATTCGAATTTTTAAAATAAAGCCAATAATTACCTGAGTATGTTGCACTGTACAAATGGATTTTAAAGACGATTGCCTTGAAATAATGAGAGTAATTACTTATATAGGCTTGCCTTTGATTTAAAAATGAAGATTACAATTCGATTTGTCATGGGTGGTGACGTTGCGGTTTGTGGTTTTTATTGATAAATAGGTAAGTAAACAAACAAAATTTTCAGCCTCTAGCAACGTTGCCACATATTTAGGTTATACTTACTATAGTTGACAGCACAAGTAGTATCGAAGAATCGATTTTTTTCACAAGCAAGCTCCACTAGAGAAGGGCTTATCGATACGATACGTCGATATAGGAGCATATTTTTTCTATTCTAAAATCTGTTTTTTTTTAAAGATAAAAGTCAGAATGACATTATGTTGGCAATACAATGTAAATTTGTCAACAGTGTTGTCGTTGACTGGGTAATTCCCCAAAAACCGGGTATTTTCGACTAGTGTTCGGGTAAAATATTGATGTAGGTAAAACCGGGGAATCCGGAATTACAGCCCTACTCTTTTTTTTTTTTTTTTTCAACAATTTCAATTAATATTTTCCACATTGAAACTGAAAGCGCAACTGTTTTATTTCACATGATTTTAGAAAAAAAAAAAACGAATACATTCAGTTCAAACTGTCAAATGGAAATCACTAGAGTGCCTATCAGCGCATTGACATTGACCACTGGCGTAGCCAGGGGGGGGGGCAAGGGGGCATTTGCCCCCCCCAAGACCCTTAAATTTTATGAATAAATCTTCGAAATTAAAATAAACAGTCCCAAAAATAGCGTAAATAAGCCTAAAAAAGGGGCGTCGCACCCAAAAATTTCGCGCCTGCGGCGCTTTGCCCCTGCCAGCGGTCGCGGTGGGGCTGCAGGAAACACTTCTTGCCAATTTGCCCCCCCTAAGACAAAATCCTGGCTACGCCACTGACATTGACGTTTACCTACCGTCAGGTCCGTCACCCGTCACGGCCGTTACCCACTTCCACCCGTGTATTGTTTATTGTAAAATTTTAAAGTGCGTTTTTTTTTAAAAGATAAAAGTCAAAATGACATTATGTTGGCAATACAATGTAAAATTGTCAATGCTTTCAAATTTTCTATGTAGAAAAGGCTTGTTTTGCCAACATAGTTACTAAATTTTTGACTTGGGGAATTATCTTTAAAAAAAAAAAACGCACTTTATATCATAGAATATTATATATAATATTCAAGCACCATCAATGGGCAAGTTTTTAAAATCATCAATGTCTCATGCGCATTTTCACCGATGTATTGCTGTCCTTGTTATTTGACAGCAGCAAAACAAGGATAGGTTACCCTTTTGATGAGTAAATTACCTATCCTTGTTTTGCTGCTGTCAAATGACAAGGACAACATTACATCGGTGAAAATGCGCATATGTCATCAAAGGCCGTTTTACAGCTTGCAAGAAAACTTGAATGCCATTTTTTGCATGCAAAAAAATTGCCTTCAAGATTTCTTGCACGTCGTTTTACACCTTGCAATTTGACTTGTTTGTTTCTTTCTCTAACCTTAACCATACTTTTTTGTTTTTAATGTTGTGTTGCTGATTTTTGCATTTTCCAAAAATAAAAAAAGTTATTATTAGTCGATATAAAAAGAAGAAAGCAATAGCAGCAACTTTGGGGATCATAATTGCTAAAAATTCTTCAGCTTGCACGAAAATCTTCAAGAAAAATGGCACCAAACCGCAGTGTTACCAGATTGGGGGATTTTCCCCCAAATTTGGGGGATTTTCAAGTAGATGGGGGAAAATCTGGGGGATAGTTTTTTCTGGGGAATTTTTTGGGGGTAAGAATTGATCGCTATTGGGGGAAATCGGGTATATTTCAATGAATAAAACTAAAGTAAAAAATGTATTGAAACAACTGCGCCATCTATTTTGTCAATCAAGTACCAATAAAAAAGATACAGTTTGCTTCTTCTCCAGTGTTGCCAATGAGCGGATTTTAATCCGATTTGCGGATTTTTTTTGGACGATCGGATTTGGTAATGCAGAGGATTTTTTGCGGATTTTTTTAGATAAAACGAATAAGGACATGAAATCCCTCCAAAGCACAAAAAGCCAACATGGCTGCTATGGCAGTATGCAACAAAAGCGTTTGGTGTGGTTTTGAGATTATTTTTTAAACTATCCAAACTTCTTGGTACAACTGTACTTATCTGTTCTGACACCAGCAATGAACTAGAGCTAAAAAAATGAAGCCATATGAAAGACAGATGCCACAAGGGGGAATGTTGTCTTTTTCTGTTGCACGCTGACATATTATTATGACGTTTTCGAAAGTTTTGTCATATTTTCCTTCACAGGTTTCATCAATTGGAATACGTGTTGGAAGCAATTTTCGCCATTTAACATAATGAGTGCGACAAAAACATGTATCCCCCCCGCAGCAGCCGCACTAGGCTTCACGTTCGTCCTTATTTGTTAGCATTCCAGTTTTTGGTTATAGTTCATTGGACACCAGTCACAACATTTTATTTCATTTGTCATTTGTCAATTGTCATTTTATTTTTGGGATTAGAAAAATATAAACAAATAAAAAAGTGGTAAGGGTATGAGTTTTATTTTAAAATATTCAACGAATTTGTCTTTTTTTTTGCAAGCATGAGTCGAGAATAAATCTATATTTATTTGGGGGATTTTAGTTGACAAACAATGATTTTTGGGGTATTTTTGAAATCCTTTGGGGGAAATTAGTTATAACCATCTGGCAACCCTGCGAAACCGATTGCGTGCAATGCCATTCAAGTTTCAAGAATCTTGCAAAAACCAATCAGCTGACTCACTTCTGCGCATGCCCTCGTTCAAGTTTCTTGCATATTGCAAAAAGAATTGCAAGCTGTAAAACGGCCTTAATGATTTTAAAAACGTGCCCCGTGCCCTAACCTAGCCTGATGATTTGGGGATTTTGTTTTCAGTGTCCGGGTGAAATTGGGTATTTTATGATATTGGAAAGGGTAATGAGAATTCTCAGTCCGGCAACACTGATTGTCAATGCTTTCAAATTTTTTATGTAGAAAAGGCTCGTGTTGCCAACATAGTTACTAAATTTTTGACTCGGGGAATTATCTTTAAAAAAAAAACAGGCTTTAGGCTTTTGAAATTCCTTATTTTGTCAAATTCAAGAGCCGAGGATAGACAAAAATTGAGATGAGAAATAGACCGGAGAAATTAATCAAGAATTACTACTTTTATTTCACACGTTGTATCCGGACTATCCGGATACTTAAGGGCGGGTATTATAAAACTACTTTGGCAGTAAACTAAAAGTTAAGTTCTGGAATTAGGCAATTCAAACCACGTGACATTCAAGATGGCGTGGCGGCCACACATGGGCCAAAAAATACAAAAAAATATATAATTTCTGCCCGATTCAATAGTTTAGATACCTAGTCAACAAATATTTTATTAAATAATTAAAATCAAAGTTGCAAGCAAAATAATTTAAAATACGCATAAAAACATATTCAAAACAAACTTGCTTGGCCGCCACGCCATATTGAATTTTCCTTTTTGACAGATGGATTGAATGGCAGCAAATATCCAGTTAAGTTCTCCAATATTTTGTAGAGGGCGCGAGTGAACTTGGAGTGCTTCAAATTTTGGTGGTAAATGTCAATAGTGTTAAACCGTTTAAATTGAGTAGAAGGACAGATGACTACAATATGAACAATGGACAATGAATAAGTTAAAATATCTTCTAAAGCATTCAGTGGCCCTTATAGAGAATATTTTTAAAAGTGTCAGCGTCAGCTTATCTTGAAACCACACATCAGATTTAAGCCTAGCACTCATAACTGCGAAATTCTCTCTTTTTTGACATTGCTTCGACAATTTGACGTTTGATTCACGCATAAAACATCAAATTGTCGAAGCAATGTCAAAAAAGTGCGAATTTCGCAGTTATGAGTACCAGGCTTTAACTTAAGAGGTTAAAATTACAATCAAATATTCACGCGCCAAAATTCAAATAGGTCCAAGTACAGAAGCGCCCTCTTCAACTCAACTGTCAATATTACATGCCATTGCCAGTGTTACCAATGTGTGAGCATTTGCTCACATTTGTGAGCATTTGATATATCTGGGGGTAAAAATGGGAGCATTGGCAAGATGTGAGCATTTTGTGGGCATTTTTGGTATTTGTTAACGTGGGCCAATATTTACGTGTATTGGCTTCTTTTACGTGTTTTCCAAAACTTCGAAGGACCAGTGAGTGAACAAGCGAGACGTGATACTTTACAAATTTATTTTTAATACATTTTACGAATTTACAAGACTTTAAAAGATGAAAATCAAGAAGAAAAAATATAAACGTGAGCTGAAATCAACTGTCTGTATCGTTCTATCATGGCGGAATAATTTTGGACCAATCCTAGCCAAGGAAAGGGACCCATCATATGGCTCTTCTCCCACTCGCGTCACAGTTGAAGTTCGTGCAGGGTGGGTTGCCTAGGGTTAGGTAGCACTTTGAATTTGAATTTACAGTTAGGTTGCACTTTTGAATTTACAGTATTTATTAACTGAAAAAAATAAAAATTAAATTAAATTCATCCCAACACGAGAGCCATGTCATAACTCGTGGCATAGCAAAGAGCAAGCGCTCAACTTTTTAGAAAAGAACCACGTATGTCACTTCACGTTCCAAGATTGTCAAGAGGCCGTTTTAGAAACGCTGATTCCATTCAAGGATGATACACACTCACCACTACTACAGGATGGCCTATCCTCATAAGGCCTCTGGTGTAACAAATCCCCCCCACGCCAAAATACCAGTTGTGACGTAGACAGAATGTCATTTCTTGCCTTGACTTTTGCTTGACGTAGGCTGTTCAAACAGCTGACGACTTAGTTATGACGTCGGAAATGGTATCACACCAATATGACGGCGATTACCAAAAACGAGGCTGATAAGCACTCCTTATGCCCTATTCTCACTTGCGCGAAATTCGCTCTTTTTTGACATTGTATCGACAAATTGACTTTTTATACACGCATAAAACGTCAAATTGTCGAAGATATCCCCTCTTTTTTATTCTAATCGGTGACTTCACCGATGAGTTAGCTATCTTCGTTTAGTGAATGGAAAATGACAATGACCGACATAGAATGATGGATCCATCAGTAAAATTTGATGAGAATAAAGACGCAGGGAATGTCAAAAAAGAGCGAATTTCGCACAGGTCAGAATGAGGCATTAGAATGTGTATTCTCCTTGGATTGCAACAGCCGATCACCAGCTATTTGTTATTTATTTTTTTCTAATAAACACGATTGAAAAAAGACGACGTACATCAACCTGGTGATCCCGTAGTCAAATGTCAAATGTCATACTTAATACTGGAAAAATAAGGGAAAAATCGAAAACACATTTTGACATTGACGTTATTTTTAGTACATGTGAGCGTTTTCACTACAAATGGGGAGCATTTTGATAACTTCCCGTTGGCAACACTGGCCATTGCCTAATAGGGAACTTGCAAGTGAACTAAATTTTTCCGAATTTGTTTTAAATCGATAGTTTATAATGGATAATATCCATATGACCAGTTTTTTTTTAACTGATATCGCCCTTGCTATACAAAAAATAATACTTAATTCGGAATAAAAAATTTCCCGCCAAAACAATGCTTCCATGATGGCTTTTTTGACGTCACGATTCTGTAAACAAACCTGTCAATAGGGAACTTGCAAGTGAAAAAAAATTACAAAAGCAGTCCTTTACAATATTCTTCATCCATTGCGACAATTTTCACAAAAAGAAAACTTTAATACACTTGAATAACACAAAAATAGCACTGTGTCAGCAGGAGTTCGTTTGCTGCGTTTGTTGTTTACAAAATCTTGACGTCTAGAGCGCTGTCATATTGAGATTTCCTGTTTTCGCGCCAAAGTTTTTGATTTGAATTGCAATAATTTTTTTTTCGTGCAACGTATAAATTAAAATGGAAGAAAAGAAAACTATGTAATATCTAATCACTAGAAGTATCTAAAAAAAAAATAATTTGAGAAATTAAACACCCAGGATTAGAGAGTTTATCCGGATTGCAGTACTTTAAGTTTGTTGTTAATTTCAAGAAAAAACAGAAATTCAATGAGTAAGAAAAGGACACAAATAAAGTAGAATAGTAAAATGTTTTTTTGTTAATAATAAAAATAAATACTATTGATTTGTCCCCCTTTGTCGGCGCCCATGGTGAGAACAGACCTTAAAAAAATACCATTTATTTTAGATATACACAGCGGTAAAGCTCCGCCCACTTTTCTCCCATTGGCTCAAACGAGGAGTGGGGACCTATCAAAGTACCGCGTTCCGCCCACTTTTTCCCCATTGGTTCGAAGGCGGAACGCGGAGCGCCAATGAGAAGCGTAGAAACGCCACCTCCTGTACGTTTCTGATGCTCCTGTTTTAAAAATAAAACTAGGAAGGCAGAAATGTGAGAAGATGAATTATATAGGTTACAGAGGCGCACCCATGGGAAAGGTTTTGGATTTGAAACCCCCTCCCGAAATTTTAGTACTGATACAAAGAATTTCCCGGCAAAAATATTTTTTTTAACGATTATGGTTAATATAGAATTTTTAATACCTATTTAGTACCAGTACCAGTCGTTCTAGTGACTAAACGTATGTCGCTTCTTGAAACATAAATAAAATTAGGTTAGGCATTTCCTATTTGTAAAATGTGTTTTTTTTTAAAGATAAAAGTCAAACTGACATTAGGTTGGCAATATAATGTAAAATTGTCAATGCTTTCCAACTTTTTATGTAGAAAAGGCTTGTGTTGCCAACATAGTTACTAAATTTTTAACTTTAAAAAAAAACCAGACTCTTTACATGAAATTGACGTATTCGTAATCGACGTTCGTTTTTGTTGGAAATTTTTTGTTACATCTGATTCGTGATTGATAAATAAGGATGGGGTTATTCTAAGGGTATTAAAAATACTATACTTACAAACTTTTCATTTATATCATCATGAAACGTCCTTCCTCTCAAACAAAAAAAACTTGGGTGCGCCACTGATAGGTTATTTACGTTATATTTATGATGACGTCATAGAACACGGACAGACATGTCTGCCTCTTCTTTTAGGCGGCTACACACGGACGTGGATGTTTGAAAATATGTACGCACATACATGAATGCGCAAACAAAAACATCAATGTGTATGCAAAATATCGTAGCGTTTTTGAATGTGCAATTTTGTATGCACACTCGGAATACTATAGCAAGAATAGCAAGACTACAGTTTTGTGCGAGCGTCTGTACAAAGGCGCCATGCACGTTGTTGTTTGCACGTTGATGTATGCACGTATATGTATTAAGCCATCCACGTCCGTGTGTAACCGCCCTTTGTTCTTAATTTACCAGGAATGTTATAAATAGTTTATCAAGACTACTGACAGCTAAAAATAACGGAATGAATTGACACGCGTTATTCTAAAATGTTTATATAAATTGTGCAATGCAACGTCGTAGGTACGCCGTTGCCAACCAAAAACATCAATTCCCTTACTTAAAATGCGTTAAAAAGTACTTTTAGTTTTGGTAGATTGGCAGCAGAAATTTATTAAATGTGACGTCATCCCAAATATACCGTAAATATCCTATAATGAACATTGGCACGTAATAGTCCATAACTTTGTTTATTTCAATCCGATCTTGATTAGACTTAAAATGAAGTTGATTGAATTGCAGATGCTCTATATTTAGAGAAATTTAGAAGAAAACGAAAATTCAAGAGCCGGGAATAGAAAAAAAAAGTCGCGTGCAGCACAGTACATACACGTGATAGAAGTGAATACTTATTTATCGATTCGTTGAAGGTGAGTGAGTGAGTGAGAGAGAGAGAGAGAGAGATATGTATTGTACATATTACCACAGATTATATTACATTAATAGTTGTATTCCTTTCACACGTGGGAGGAGCTCCGGAACAGCTCCAGCGCTTCACGCGCTTATTCCTTTCGAAAAGTGTTTGTTGCACCAGGCATCTGTTCCCTGCAAATAGGGGGCGACTAAACACCGGAACGAGTAGCTCGAGTGTTTCAAGCTCTTGAAAGGAATACAGCTAATGCGTTAAGAACAATACTCTCTTTCATTCACCATCTCTTTCTCTCTCGCTCCCTCATATTCATCATATGCTTCATTTCACTTGCGAGACGAAAATTTTATAAATCGTGTCGTGACGGGACCTTGAAAAATCACTCTCATGCGGCCAAAGAAGTATTCACTTCAAAAAAATTAGGCACTAGCTGAAGTCACACACATAGTTTCACGGTTCCTACTGGTATTTTTCGGTTTCAACATGTCATAAAATTAGGCTGTTTGCTGCTTGGTCGTATCGTCATAAATTTAACACTCTTAAAAAATATAGCTTTGGAAAGTAGGTACGCATTTTTGAAATCCGCTAGGATAGACCAAAGATATTTATTACACACTACTACAGGATTGCTCATCGGCCTTGATTTTTGGAATCAAATTCATATGGGATTGCACCATTGCCGACGTCATCAACGGTGTCGTTAGAGGTTTGCGCCAGCGGTCGTAGTTAAGAATATACATTTATGATGAAAATATTATTTAATTTTGATTAACATAATAGACAAGTGGAAAATGCAAATGAGATCTAAACAAGGGTTGTTTCAGAATATTAAAATAATGTACGAAAACCAAATATGTATAAAGCAAAAATCAGCACGATCATAACCTGTGGTGCTGGTGCAAGCACCCTACTTTGAAACTGGTCAAAAAGTACTTTTAGTTTTGGTAGGTTGGCAGCAGAAATTTACTAAATGTGACGTCATCCTAAATATACCGTAAATTTCCTATAGATGAATGGCACGTAATTTGGTCTATAATTTTGTTTATTTCAATCCGATCTTAACGTGATTAGGCTCAAATTGAAACCGATTGAATTGCAGATGCTCTATATTTAGAGAAATTTAGAAGAAAACGAAAATTCAAGAGCCGGTAATAGAAACAAAATAATTAGGCACTAGCTGATGTCACACACGTAGCCTCACTTTCGATGGGGGACAAACAAAGCGTAGTCCTTCAAACGCTTTGTTTGTCTCTACATTGAAAGGGAAGTTGTGTGTATGACGTCAGCTAGTGCTTAATGGCACCTAATATTCAAAGTTGAATTGTAGAGGGCGCTTCTGTACTTCGTAAATAACCGAGTGTAATTTTAATAGGCCGATTTGAAAATTAATTTCGGGTGTTTACCTTGCTCAAAGAGCAGAGCGTGCTGAAGCGGAACAGTAATCACGTGACCGGCGAGCGCACAGAGCAGTTAAACACTGTATCAGAGCCAATGAACTCAGGAGCCCTCGAAATTTTAATAAACGAACGTCAATGAACCTGCACCGAATACACTTTTTAAGTAAACGAACGGTAAATTCAAGCTCGGAGAACTCAGATCATAATGCCGACACCACGGTTAGTAATTCTACTCTGACTCTGACTGTTCCAAGTGCACTAACTCTTTTTAAACTGTCCGAACTACCTTAACTGTTTCAATTTTGTTCTATTTGCTCTAACTTGATTTATTAAACTACTTTAACAATCCATTTGCATTTAGAATTCGAAAATATCGATATTTTCTGATATAAATATCGATATGAAAAAGAAAAAATGATTTCCCCATCTTTGTTTGGTACATAGAAAATGACAAAGATGGAAAATTGATTTAAAAATGTCAGATTTAGATTTGTAAGGTTATGTTTTTTTGAGTAAAATTAATTTAAAATTTAATATTTTGTTAATTCCCTAATAATTAAATACCAAATTTTCCTTATTTCCTAGTTAAGTAATTACCAGTTAAATAATGTGCACAAATATAGCAAAAATCGTGTCGAAAAGTCTAACTCCTTTTATGACCGTAAATCCACTACTACACCAACAAATAAGGGTAAGTTCAATAGTATATTTCCTAACTAGCGCGGAAAGTGCCACTTTTCTGTGCGCGATTGCAGGATAAGTAATACCTACTTTTATGATTTAAAATGCGTACAGAAAAGTGAGGTTTCACCCACACTTATATTTTGTTTTGCAAATTGCAGACTACATTTATATTGAAACGTAAGTTCGCCCCTCAATTGCATAAAAAAGGCGACGTTCCTAAGCCTTTGAGAAGCAGGCACTACATCTACGAGCTGGTAGAGGATACCGCAATTCAAAAACAAGAAGACATTAAAGTTATACTGACTACTTCTGTTGAGGGTTTAGGGAATTTTGGAGAAACCGTCTCTGTGAAACCTCGTTACGCCTACAATCATTTACTTTTGCCTGGTTTAGCTGTATACGCCACTCCCGAGAATGTTGAAAAGTACAAAGAGTATGCAATAGATGCTACAAAAGTCCAAAAATATAGCTCACCCAATGCTTTATTTGTAAGTTATTTTAATTGCCCAAAAGATGTTTTTGTTTATAAATCACTTGCAGATGATGAAAATACTATCTTCAGTCACTCTATCAGTTGTAATGAACAAAGATAATGCTTGGACAATCCAGCCTTGGCATATTAAAGTCTCTTTCCGTAAATGCGGCTATATGGTACCAGAAGATGCAATCACTCTGCCAGAAATTCCCATTAAAGGACCTAATTTGGATTTGGAAAATAAAGAATTCTTTGTTACAGTGACTGTAAGTGTTTGTTTAAGGCAAAAAAAATCTTACAGTGACACAAGGCCTGTTCTTACAGAAATCAAAAACCAGTCAGAGCATAATTTTTCAGTGATTTGCAGCAATCAAAAATGTTCTTGACTGGTTTGTAATTTTTACAGACCTGTATTAAATTGCTTTCTTTCCTTAGATGAATAAAACAGAAAAAGTCAATGTAAGATGTAGATTGCACCATTGGAGTACGGACATTGTAGAGAGATTACCATTTGCTGAGAAATTTTGGGAACAGCCTAGCGAAGCTGTTTGTCCAGAGTTTGAGGATGTTTTAGTCCAGATTCCCAAGAAAAGGCAAATACCTGTAACAACTGTTTAAGAAAATAAAATTGTTTTATATTTTTTATTCATTTTTGTACTAGGAACCCAGTAACATGAGTTGTAAGAGGATAAGCATTAATCTGCTTCATAATTTTGTAAATTTCAATCCGATACAATTTTTTTTTCAGAGCCGAGAGCCGGTAATAGAAAAACAATTACTTTGGCACTAGCTGACGTCACACACATAGCCTCACTTTCGATGGGGGGACAAATAAAGCGTCTGATGACGTCATCTGGGGGTGCCTAAGCAAACAAAATTTTCAGCCTTAAGCAACGTTACCACATATTTTTAAGTGGCTGTAGTTAAAGCTTACAGGGATAGCCGTGTTACAGAGTTTTCAGTGACAACTATTGAATAGAAATCGACTTTTTTGTAAGCCTTATCGATATATATTTTTTTATATTCCCAGGCTCTTGAATTTTCTTAATTTATTTTAATTATGGAAAAATTAAATCATAAATATCGTATCGATATTTTCTTATATCAATATCGATAGAGGTTTGAAAAAATATCGATAGCGTTTGAAAACGTTTCAGTTCCTCTTGTCACCGCAAAATATTAATGCAAAACGAGGGCGCTGTGATCGGTACACTTCTCAAATAAAAATAATAATCATCGTACTGGGAAACGTAAACTTTCATATTACACATTTTCCAATTTTCTTTATAAATTTCCAGTTTTCCGCGATGTAAGTATGGACAACAACGACGAAAATGTCGAAAAATTCAATCGGTACGGTACGAATCAAGTCCGGCTGCGTTCCGTTGCTCAAAGAAAACTTGGAAAGGATCCTGGTGCTGTTTGCGGCAATTCTAAAGGAAAAAACGCGATGTGCCAGCGATAACGCGGTTATTTACGATGTATTACTCGCTGGGGCACAGACTGAGGGCGTAGTCCGAAGTGTCAGCGGCGATTTCGTGCCCAGGCTTCAGGTAGGCACTCTAGTTTTAAAGTAGGCCAAGAAATTTCGATATGAAGATGCGGATTTGACCCCAAGAGAAATTGGGTCACGATTAAACGAATACTTTTACTTTTCGGTAGCATTTTGATGTACATAAGTTGATATCAAAGACAATGACAAAATGATTATTCACAGTATAATAGTGTAGTTTCTCATTCTCAAAGATCTCTGTTGAATCACAGTTGGTTCTCATTTTTGAGAAAAGAAATGGTACAAACAAAGATATTCAGAACATAGTTTGAAGAAGCTAGATTAGGACAGTAGTTATGGACAGGCAGAAATGCCTAATTCCAGGATTAAATGAGAATAGATTAAGTAGGTACTAAGAAGGAATTCAAAATCTGTTGAATCCTCGGTTGAATCTTATAAAGGGAAAATTTCTTTTAAGTATAGCAGTTTTTCCACAGTTTTTCTTTCACATGAATCATTGAGAAAAAGCAAGAGAAGTGTTGAGAAGACTTTAAAAGAGATGAAATGATGACGTGCAGAAGATTACTGGTAGAAAATGGATGAAGAGTAAAGACAGGTAAGGAGAGACAGAAATTCAAATTTATGGAATATTCCCAAATTCAGGAAAAGATGAAAAAAGGCTAATGAAAAGAAAAAGAAAAGAATCTCCTGTTGGATCTGACAAGAAAAAAAAAGGAGAGAATCTCTGCTAGATCTGTGAAGAAAAAAGGTCTTTATTGGATCTGCTAATTATTTCTCATTTCAAAAATTTCTATTGAATCTTTTATGTAGTTTCCCCTTGGTTTTTTTTTATAATAGAAAAAAAGTTATGACCTTTCAAAGTTTTCCAAAATCTAAATCATAAGGTACCTATGAAAAAAGGCACTCAGAAAAATTGATAAATCACCCCAAATTACCACGATTTCATCTCAGGAAGTATAAGTGCAAATGAGCTGAAATTTTCAGGGATTGTAGCCCCTTGATCGGGAAAAAATTCAGTGGAAGTTTAAGCTTTCTATCTTTAATAGAAAAAAAGTTATAACTGTAGTGTCCACTATGCACTAAATTATATTGTTCACCTTTACCAGTTAATTGTTGTATGTCATTATGTCAGAGTATGTGAAAATAAAGTTCATATTAAATAGTCAGTAAACTTATCATATCTGCTATTCAAATACTGTACTTCCATAATCAAAGTAAATACATAATAAATTGGCGACGAGGACGAAGAAACCCTTTTACAATGAATGCTGAACAATTTAATACTTTGATGGCTGCACTTACAAAGACTCTACAAGTTAATTAAAATACTACTCCAATCACTCAAGAATCCATTTCAATAGATCCATTCTCAGAAGAAAATGAAAGTTGGGAGATGTTCATAAAAAGGTTAGACAATTTTTTTTCCATGAAGAACTTCACTGGTTCCGCAGACTATATTGATACTAAAAAGAAAGAATGGTTACTTCACACGATGGGTACCAAAACGCTACAACTTATTCACTCTTTAACATGTCCCGATGATCCTAAATCTAAAGATTATACGACTTTGGTTTCTCTTTTACAAAACCATCTTGATCCTTCTTCAAGTATAATCGCAGAGCAAAACCGTTTTACAAAACGTGTCCAACAAAAAAGGGGAAACTATTGCAAATTACGTAACTGAATTAAAAAAGATGACGACAAATTGTAAGTTTGTCTGTGATGCTTGCAAAGCTTCGACGTCTGATGCCCATTTACGTCTTCAGTTCATTAGTGGTCTGCGAAATTCTAATTTAATTGAAAGACTAATTCAACTTAAAGAACCAGATAATAAATTTAAAAACTGCGTTGATACAGCACTAACTATGGAATTAGCACAAAAAGATTCCAGAGAAATACATTCTTTACAAACATGTGCGAGTACTTCTTTTCAAAATCAAATTAAAAATTTTTCATTTAAACCTGAACAACAACAAAAAAACATATCTCCTTTGAATTTGTTAAATTTTCAACGAAAGTGCTACAGATGCGGTGATCCACAACATTTGGCAAATACATGCAAGCACAAAAATTCAAAGTGTACAGGATGTCTAAAATATGGTCACGTGTTTAAGGCATGCAGGGGAACTCCTAGGAGAGAAAATGTTCATCAAGTGGAAGAAGAACCAGAGGAAATGGAAAACAACTTTCAGCATGAAGAATTATTTTTTATGAACGTACTAGATAATAATTGCTTACCTGAGGCTTATAAAAAACCAGGCAAAATTCTTTTAAATCTTCAATTAGATGGAGAATCCATTAAATTTGAATATGATACAGGCGCTGCAGTTTCATCGATTTCACAAGATTTGTTTAACGCAAAATTTTCAAAAAAAACATTGCAAAAAACAAATTTACCTTTAAGAACTTACACTGGAGAAATAATTCGACCTATCGGCTATTCAACTTTCCAGGTTGAATTAAATAATCAAATTGAATTACTAAATTTATATATTTTACCAGGGAAAGTTGAACCTATTTTCGGGAGAGAATGGATGCAGAAAATTAAAGTCGATTTACCTGAAATTTGTCAATTACAAAATGAAAATATCCCAGATTTCTTGAAATTAAAAATTATAGAAGAACTTAAAAATAATTTTCCAGAAGTTTTTAAACCAGGTCTTGGAAAAATTTCAAATTATAAAGCTAAATTATTTTTACCAAACAATACAAAACCAATTTATGTTCCTGCTCGAAAAGTTCCCTATGCATTGAAGGAAAAAGTGGAAAGAGAAATCGATAGACTAGAAGAAATAGGAGTGTTAACTAAAATGGAATACAGTGAATGGGGCACACCGGTTGTACCAATTATGAAAAGTGACGGTTCTGTAAGACTTTGCGCGGATTTCAAAATTACATTGAACAAAGTTTTAATAAATGATAAATTTCCGATTCCAAACATAGAAGATATTTTTGCGACTACAATGCACGGAGGGAAAATTTTTACTACTTTGGATATTCGCGAAGCTTATTTACATATGCCAATGGATGAAGAAAGTTCAAGAATGCAAGCAATTACTACGGAAAAGGGAGATTATAAGGTACATAGATTGATGTTTGGAACCAAAGTTGCTCCTGCTATTTGGCAACGTTACATTTCAAACCTATTGGATAAAATAACCGGAGTTTGTGTGTTTTTAGATGATATCAAAATACAAGGAGCTACATTACAAGAGAATGTGAATAGAGTAAGAACTGTTTTACAATGTCTACAAGAAGCTGGTCTTCATATTAAACAAGAAAAATGTAAATTCTTCGAAGAATCCATAACATATTTGGGTCATAAAATTTCAAGCAGGGGTTTAGAGAAAACTGAAGACAAAATAAAAGCTGTCAAGAATGCACCAGTACCGACAAATGTCACTGAGTTAAAAAGTTGGTTAGGATTGGTCACTTACTATGGAAGATTTCTGAAAGATCTTTCTTCAAAAATACATCCTTTGTACAAACTTTTACAAAAGAATGTTATTTTCCGATGGACATCTATCTGTGATCAGGCTTTTAATTTAATTAAAAAGGAAATAACATCTGATCAGATTCTTTGCGCATATAATCCGAAACTACCTTTAATTTTGGCAACCGATGCTAGTCCTAAAGGTTTGGGTGCAGTATTATCTCATATTTTTCCTGATGGTGAACGTCCTATTGTTTTTGCTTCAAGGAGTCTAACGAGAGCTGAAAAAAACTACAGTCAAATTGATAAGGAAGCAACTGCTATTTTTTGGGCATGTAATAAATTTTTTCAGTATTGTTATGGAAGAAAATTCACGCTGATTACTGATCATCAACCTCTAGTTTCTATATTTAATCCAAACAAAAATCTTCCCAGTATGGTAGCTACTCGAATGCTTCATTACGCTCAATTTTTGCAAGGCTTTAATTATGACATTATTTATCGTTCTAGCGAAAAACACTTAAATGCTGATGCACTCTCGAGATTGCCTCAAAAAATCACTCCAGTTTTCAATCAAACAATGGATGGCGTTACAATTCATCAGTTACAACAAATTCTAACGTTACCAGTTACGCATAGAGAAATTGCTAATGAAACACAAGAAGACCCAATATTAAGAAATGTTTACAAAAGTTTACAAACTGGAAAGAAAATTGAAGAAAATGAATTTAAAGGGAAAGATATAGAATTTTCTTTAAACGAAGGTACTATAGTAAAAGATTCACATATTGTTGTGCCCAAAACGCTTCGTCAAAGAGTATTAAAAGAATTACATGAAGCACATACCGGTATAGTGAGAATGAAATCACTTGCACGTTCTTTCGTTTGGTGGCCAAGAATAGATCTTGATATTGAAGAATTGGCTAAGAAATGTCAAAGTTGTCAATCTATGTTACACAACAAAACTAATATTCCACCGCATTGTTGGGAAACTCCGAAAGGACCGTGGCAGCGCGTACATATTGATTTTGCGGGACCGTTTCAAGGAACATACTTTTTAGTAATTTGCGATGCATATTCTAAATGGCCTGAAATTTTTATTACCAAGTCCATGAATACTTTGAAGACGATTTCAA